CTCAAGGTATGACAATCATGCAACTTTCGAAGGCGTCGTCGCCGTCGTCGATCGAAGATCGAGGTTTCTGGGTGTGCTTTAATGGCTTGGTTCTTCGAAGCTCTGGAGAGCCGGAGGAACCGACCTAACTTTGCCAAGGGGGCACCCAGGACTCCGACGCCGTGATTTCGTTAGCAAGGTGGGCCCTCAGATTTGGACTCCTTCTCCACGACCCGACGTGCTTCGCCCACGCCCCCGGGGCCTGGCAAGGCCCCCCCCCTCCTCCCAGGAGGCCGAAAACAACCCAAACCTCCCTTGGCCCTTGGCGTTTTTGCTCACAACGAGGGGAGGCGGGGCGCATGGGCGTAAGGCGGGTGAGGCGGGCTGGGGCTGGGACGCTGGGGAGGGGGCCTGCCCCTGGGGAGGCAGGCCACGGAGGGGAGGGGGCAGAAGCAAGCGCGAGAAGCGGGGCCCCTGCCCCCCCGGCGGGCCATCCCGCCGTGGGGGAGGGGCCACGGACGCAACACGCCGTCGATGAGACCATGGGAGAGGGGGGGGGGGCGTGAGGACGGTAGGAGGAGGAGGGATCTAGCGGGTTAGCCTCCAGATGCGGCGGCTATGAGGACGCTCTGCCGAACCCCAGGCCGCACCTGGGCGCTTGGACACAACTCGGCGATGAAACCAAATTGCCGAGGTGAAGCTGACGGTGTCGCCCCAGCTTCCTTACGAGCCTGCAATGCACGCTCGCCCCCGTTGCCTTCGGTCGGGCATGTCCCCCTACAGACGGATTTTGGACGAAAAATGAAAAATAGTCACAACATGCGCAACAAAACAAACAATTATAGAAAAATCGTCCCCATACTATTTCTGGACTATTTTTGAATATTCCTCCTGTAGAGGGACAGGCCCGACTTAATCCTTGCCATATGGCGCGCGAGCTGCCACCACACGCCTGCAGCTGACGGTGCCCGGCGCTTCTCGCTTGAGCGCTCATCCCCGCGCTGTAACTTGCGACTGCCTCTCTCCGCCCCGTCTCGCCAGAGCTGAGCCCCGCACTGCAGGTGGTGACATGTGGTGACTGGCTCACGCTTCGCGTTTCGCAGCTGCCTGCTTTTCCGCACGGACAACGATGCCTGCCACTGCTCATCGCGCTGGCTGACCCCAGCCGTTCTCGCACTGCCCGCAGCATCTTGGACGGTTTTCCCCGGGGCCGTAGGCGACCCGAGGAGGAGGAGGAGGAGGAGGAGGAGGAGGAGGAGGAGGAGGAGATGGAGGTGGAGGAGGGGGAGGGGGGGGAGGCAAGCTAGGTGCGCTCGCGTCATATCTGACGTCCTACCCCTCCCTCCCATCCCTTACCATGGCGCTGATTTTCTCTATCCGCGGACGCGTGTCGTAGCGGACCTGTGGCTCCGCGCGCGAGTGCGTAGTGGGTGGTGGTGCACGTGCGTGCGTGCGTGCGTGTGTGCGTGGTTGTGGTGGTGCTGGTGGTGGTGGTGGTGGTGGTGCTGGTGGTGGTGGTGGGTGCTGGTGCTGGTGCTGGTGGTGGTGGTGGTGGTGGTGGTGGGTGGGTGGTGGTGGCGGTGCGGCGCGGTGGTGGCGGGCGGATGGGCGCGCGAGAAAAAGGCCCGCGCTGGGGCGAGAACGCCATCCTGAACGACGGAGGCCAAACACCGATCCGAAAATGAGGCCCACGCTGCAGCGGGAGCACGATTCGGAACGATTCGGGAGCAGAAATGAGGCCGGCGCCTCAACGAGAGCAGCATTTTGGGAAAAAATGACGCCGGCGCCTCAGCGAGAGTCGTTTCCCGGGATTTCCTGGGCATCCTGTGTGTAAAAAAACAGTACGCGGAGGGTGCGCGGCCATCACCCGGACGCCATCAGGGGAACGATTCGGGAGCAGAAATGAGCCAGCGCCTCAACGAGAGCAGCATTTGGGAAAAAATGACGCCGGCGCCTCAGCGAGAGTCGTTTCCCGGGATTTCCCGGGCATCCTGTGTAAAAAAACAATACGCGGAGGGTGCGCGGCCATCACCCGGACGCCATCAGGGGAAGAGGGAGAGTATATTCATTTTGAGTAATTGTAGATGGAGGAGGAGGAGGAGGAGGAGGAGGAGGAGGAAGAAGAGGAGGAGGAGGGAGGAGGAGGAGGAGATTCTGGAGATTCTGCATGATCGCGTAGCGATTGGATGAAATTAAAGATCCGCTACCCTCCGTGGGGTGCGTTGGTCTCTGGCTTCGCGCTCAGCTCGACTGAGGGCCTTAGGCCAGAGTCCCTTGGCGATTCTCCGCAGGTATGCAATGCCTGTCGGTGTCGGGGCCTCGCACCGACCCCCGAGTTTCCCGAGAAGCTGGTTAGCGTAGGACCCGCAGACGGAACAAAACCAAAGATTCAGCCCAGCGTGGAACCTTAAAGTGTGGGTCAGGTCAACATATCCCCCTGCGACGTGTACCTGTTTCCCAAGAGGAGCCATCATATAGGTGCCATCGACATTACATAGATCGAAGCATTCACTAGCTAGCCACTGGGCCCTTGAGGCCAGCGTGGTAGTGGTCCTACAACGGGTGCATTTGGATCCACAAGAGGCTACCGAGTGCTGGGACTGGAACAGGGCACAAACGCGGGGGGCGGGTGGCCTCTGTGGGGCCACGCCTCTCTGCCTCTTTGGGCGAAATTCCCCAGAGGATTGCTCGATATTCCTAGCGTGCTCAAGCGCTTCGAGAGATGTGCGGAGCAATCTCATGCGAACTAGAAATGCCTTTTGCTCAATCAATGCGTATTGCTGTCTGTCAGAAGTTGGGATCCTGGCTGCCTGTGCTGCGCCTCCTGCGATCTCGTCCGCCACTGTGTTGCCGTAGGCGAGGGTGGCGGGGATCTTGCCCTGAAAGACATCATGGGCACTCATGTGCGAGGGGATCCATCAAGATGGTGAGGGAGCCGCGGCGAGAGGAGATGTTGCGTCCTAGTCGTGCCCACAGGTCAGCGTCGGGTCCGACAGGATTGTCCGTGTGTCCGTTGTGGTAGTTGTTGTAGCAGCCCTCACTGTCAGTGAAGTAGACGAGGTCGTCGGTGATGCTCTCAGCGGCCACTACGAGGGCCATGAGTTCACCGCGGATGACGGTCTGTCGGCTGCCCGCGAGGGGCCCCCAAGTTGCGCCCCGTAGCGGCATGTCGTACTTGTTGAGGTCGGCGAAAAAGGCGACACCTATGCCGATCCTCCTCAGGGGAGTGACAGCAGTGTCGGGGCCGCCACTGGCATCGCCGAAGGCGTATGTCGGGCGTCCTCCTACGTGATCCATGCATCCGTCATTGTGGTCGTTGCAGTTGAAATGTTCCCATTGGTCGTGCTGTGGTGGTGGCGGGAGAGCTGTCCACTGCGCAGGTAGTAGGCCTCGCGTCCAGAAGCACTCGAACATGGCCCGTTGGGAGGCTGCCTCTGCACACAGTGTGTTGGAGGCGAGTATGATGTTGTTGGTGCTGTTGCCCTCACACTCCCAGCAGCGGTGGTAGTCGTCCTCGTCGCTGGTGCCGCAGCGTGGGCATGTAGTGGGAGTGGTGGTAGATGTTTCAGCGGCGACCCTGGTGCGTGTCCACATGGCACCTACTGCGATGGTGAGCATGAGGCTCGCGAGACGTGCGCCGTCTGCGAGACTCTCGAGGTACCGAAGAAGCCTGCGGTAGGAGTAGTTGTCGATCCCCTGCTGCATGCCTTCTCCGCCGTGGTGGGTACTGGCCCGCTGCCATTGTTGGTGCTGGATGCTGGCGTCGAGGTCATGAAGTAATTGATGTGGGATGTCGGCGTCGGGGTGTCCCGTGAGCTGCTGGGCGTCGAACTCCCAGGTGTCTCCGCATTCGGAGAGTGCTGGTGGGAGGCGCCATTTGTTGGGCTCCAGAGGCTCCCAGTCGTGCTGCATGAGGTAGTGGATGATGGTAGACTGTGGCCCACGTATGTGTCGTACTCGTACATGCGGCGGCATGGTCTTGAAATTGGCGACGACGGTCTTCCAGGTGGCTTGGATAACACGTTGGAGGGGCCCTCCTTGTATCCAGGTGGTGAGCCATGCCTTGAGTGCGTCGTGTGGTAGTTTGCGGGCTGGGTCGTGGGCGCGTAGGTCGAGGAGGGTAGTGAGGCACCGTCCACGTAGGCGGGGTCCCACTGCGTCACCGACGCGTCGGCGGTAGGTGGTCATAGTCGTGCCGAATGCGCCGTAGACTTGGTGTCCGTAGGTGACTGCGGGCATCCCTCCTTGTACGGCGAGCTTAGATGAAATACGATACCGCCGTGTCGCACGTGTGAAGCGAAGTATCTTCTGGTGCATGGCGTCGTGCTTGCGGCGTCGCTGAGTGGTGGTGCGTCGTGCATGTCGTATACCGCAGCCGAGGTCGATGCCGAGGTAGCTGGCCTGGGTGTTGGCGCGGATGGGGAAACCCTTCCTTCTCATAGCATTCGCAATGTACCTGGCGTCGTCGTGGTGTGTGCAGACGATGACGCTCTTCTTAGCAACATGTAGGCCCTGGTCCTGGAGCGCCGTGCAAGTGTCGGCGAGGCAAGCCACCATGCGGCGTCGTAAAGCACGTCGGCTGGCTTGCAGGCGCTGCGACAGGTCATCGACCCAAATGCGATGCTGGAGGTCAGGGTAGTGATGGGTGATGCGCTGAAGTGCCTTGTAGGTCATGATCTTGGCGAACCGTGTGCCAGACCGTAGTCCCTGTACGACAGAGCGCGTGGGATGGGGCGCTTCCGCGTACGCACCGCTCTGCATGAGCGTGCGGGGGGCGGTGCACTGCAAGATCTCGAGTCCTAGGACTTCAGGTGGGAAGTTGAGGTCGAGCGCGTCGTCGATGAGGGTGACCCAGTGGATGGAGTCGTAGGACTGGGCAATGTCGAGCAGCCCGTGCGCCTGCGGGATGCGGAGGTAGGTCGAAAGCTCCTCGTGCAGGCACCTTTCGTACGCCTCGCGGAAAGCCGAGTTGCCCTTGGCTATGGCATCCCAGTGTGCAAAGTAATCTCGATTCCACCGTT